TGGGGGCCGGGGGGAGTGAGGCGCGGTGGGGAAGCGGGCCTCGAGGCAGGGATGAGGGGGCGCGGAGGAGAAGGGTCACCTCCAGGGCAGCTAGGATGGGGGTACCGATGGTGAGGGGGACGGGGAGGCCGCAGGGGAGGAACCGGGAGGGCGAGGTACGGGCGTCTGGAAACCGGGGTGCTGAGGGAAAGGAGGGTATGAGGTGGGTCGGGCGCCAGCCTAGGACTGGACATCGGGGGTTCCTCACGGACAACGAGGTTAGCGGGGCCATCCCCCTGCGTGCGCGCCGGGGCGCCCCGTCCGGGGACCCTCCGGCCGGCGTCTTCCTCAGGTCGAGCTCGCGCCTGGACCCGAGCGGCCGGTAAGCGGCCAGGCGGGTGCGCGCGGAGGTGTGGGCGGCCGCAGTCCCCATCGCGGCCCGCCTCCTGCCCTCGGCCCCCCCAGCCTAGGTCCAGCCCGGGGGGGTCTGAGGTGAGGCCCACCGGAGCGAGCAGCCGTTGGAAGACGAAGCGGGGCGGAGCGCGCGGAATCTGAGACGTTGGGGGCTTGCGGGGTGTGAGCTTTATAGGGAGCGGCGTGGGGGCGGGGCTTGATTTACATTGGGGCGGGGCCAGCGGGCGGAGGGGGTGGGGCTCCCGGGCCCCAAGGCTCAGGGTCCCGAAGGCAAACATCTGGTTCCTGAAGGGCACACGGCAGAGACAGGGCCCATAATCCCATGGGGAAAGGTGGTCCTTCGCCTGAGTTGTCAATGCCATTATGAACCATCCACTTACAAGCTACAGATCCGTACAGAAATTATATAAACCCTTGGAAGTGCTGACAAAGTACCTGCACTGCAGAGTATTGTAAGAAGTAAATGAGATGATGCACCTATTGAGCCTGCAATAAGTGCTTATAAATATTGGGTGTTATCACTTTTTCCCCCCCACATCAACTCACCTTTAGGCCAGAGTGAATACGTTCCAGCTTGGAACCAAACAGCTTTCAGTAGCTACAGCCAATAGCCAGAACCTGAGAAAAATCATACTAGAGTATAGAGAAGCAAAGATGGCCTCCTCCCTTGAGCTCCAGAATAAATACTAACAAATCTTGGATCATATCAAATACTAATAAATATCAAATACTAATAAAGGTTCAGGTTTTTGCTGGACATTTTATAGGTCTCTTTGCTCCTTAAGAAACCTCATAGGGTAATTAGTTTTCCCTCTTGTGTGAGAAGGAAATGGTCCAGAAAGAAAAAGCAAACTGCTCAAGGTCATATAGTCGGGCATAGCAGAGACAGGTTCAAACTACAGTGTAGCTCTCAGGGGATGTCGCAGTGACAACTCAAGCAAAAGGCTAGGAAACACCCTTGGTAGCACCTTGGAAATGGGCATAACTGTAACCCTTCAAGACTGATTCTCTTTCCATTCCAGGTCTGCATCACACCTTGTTGAGGACACAGCCAAGGCAGAGTTAGTTCAGTGTGTGTTTAACTTAGGTGTAAAGAACTCTGTTTGTATAGTCCATAGTCACTTCCTTCTGTGGGTAAGTCATTGCTGTCCATCCCAGTGTAGGAGTAGCTTTCAGAAATGCACCTACCCACCCACTAAGCTTAGTACCCTCCATGTGACTGAGAGTGTAGGGCCATATAAATTATATTAGAGCCCAGAATCACAAGTTGGTACACAAAGATAGGAAACAGGATTTGAAAGTAGTCTATAGAAAATCCTCACAGCCCTCAGACGTACTAAACTTAAGCAGAGGATTTGGATCTCGTTAAAACCCAATAAAAGCAGTCTGGGAAGGTTGCTCAGTGATAGAGCGCTTGCCTTGCATGCATGAGGCCCTGGATTCGATTCCTCAGCACCACATGAGCAGAAAAAAAGCCGGAAGTGGTGCTGTGGCTCAAGTGGTAGAGCGCTAGCCTTGAGCTGAAGAGCTGAGGGACAGTGCCCAGGCCCAAAGTTCAGGCCCCACA